AAAAAAAAAAAAAAGAAAGAAAGAAAGAAAGAAATCAACACATGGAAAGTGTATATTGGTTTGGCCTGCAAAGGTGGGAGGTCCCCAAGGGAGGGTGGCTCTCACAGGTCACAGGTAGGTTTATAGAGTCTGTCACTGACGATTGGCTGTGTCAGCCAAGAATTAGGCTCTGCTGATAGACCAGGAGTCAACTGAGAGGGTCGCAGAGTTAAGATAAGGGTGTGGGGTTTTCTTTGTTTGTTTGTGACAGAGTCTCACTCTGTTGCCCCAGATTAGGGTGCTATGGCATCCTAGCTCACAGCAACATCAAACTCCTGGGCTGAGGGATCCACTAGCCTCAGGCTTCCAAGTAGCCAGGACTACAGGTGATGGACACCACAGGCTCACAGCAATGGACACCAAGCCCAGCTAATTTTTCTATTTTTAGTACAGACAGGGTCTCTCTCTCTTGCTCAGGCTTTTGCTTCAGCTTGTCTTGAACTCCTGAGCTCAAGCTATCCTCCCACATCCGCCTCCCCAAATGCTAGGATCATAGGCATGAGCCAGCAAGCCTGCCCTAGCTGCCCAGACAAGATAAGGGTCTATTAATCAGAGACAAACTACAGGACACATGCCCAGACCCAAGTGGTTGTTAAGTATGTTGAGGTCCTACAGGTAGGTCTTGCATAACCTTCGGCCTATTAATGAATCACAAAAGACGTCTCTAAGGGGGGAGGGGGCAGGATGAGGCATGTCTGAGCTCCTTTCTCAACTCAGTTTTAGGGATTCCCTTGGGCAAGAGGGGTCCAGTCAGTCAGCCACTGTGGGTGGCCTTAAGATTTTATTTTATTTTTCAAACACAATTAACAAACAGTCTTATTCAGATTTCCCCAGTTTTGTATTTAGTTCTGTACAATTTTATCACGAGTAGATTCATGGATGCACCACCACAGCCAAGACACAGAACAGCTTCCCCAGCACGAGGACCTCCCTGCTGACCTTTTAAACCCATAAATCCTTCATCTCTGGCAGCCACAAATCTGTTCTCCATTCTCATGGTTTTTCTATTTGAAGAATGTTATATAACTGGAACGCCACAGTGTATAACCTTTGTAGGGGCTTTTTTCCCTTGGCACGATTCCCTTAAGATTTTTCCAAGTTGTCGTGTATCAAGTTGGCTCCTTTTTGTTGCGGAGTGAGATTCCACCGTAGGGACATCCCAGTGTGTGACCCTTCTCCTGTCAGAGGACTTGTGGGCTATTTCCAGTTTGGGGTGACTGTGCTTTAGTCCACCATTTTATTATTTGTGCTTTGTTCCCCTTGTTTCTCATTCCAGTTTCTCTCTTCTTTTTTTTTTTTTTCTTTTTTGAGACAGAGCCTCAAGCTATCCCCCTAGGTAGAGTACTGTGGCATCACAGCTCATAGCAACCTCCAACTCCTGGGCTCAAGCGAGTCTCCTATCTCAGCCTCCCAAGTAGCTGGGACCACAGGCACCCGCCACAACACCAGGCTATTTTTTGGTTGCAGCCGTCGTTGTTTGGCGGGCCCAGGCTGGATTCGAACCCGCCACCTTGGGTGTATGTGGCTGACGCCCTAGCCACTTGAGCCACAGGCGTGGAGCCCAGTTTCTCTCTTCTTGCCTTCCTATGGGTTAACTGAACATGTTTTAGGATTCAGATTTTATCTCTCTGTAGTGGTTTGTAGCTTATCTCCCTGCAGTCATCTCTGGGTGTTGCAGTGTAAATGTGGGATTCATCACAGTTCGCTGCTGTCGACATTTTGCCACTTCCAGTGAAGTGTGGAAACCTTACAGCCATTTACATTTATTTATCTTCCCCACTTTTTCTTTTTTTGAGACAGTCTCATAATGTCAACCCTGGTGGAGTGCTGTGGCATCACAGCTCACAGCAACCTCAAACTCTTAGGCTTAAGTGATTCTCTTGCCTCAGCCTCCCAAGTAGCTGGAACTACAGGCGCCTGCCACAACGCCCGGCTATTTTTGTTGTTGTTGTTGTCATTGTTGTTTGGCAGGCCTAGGCCAGGTTCCAACCTACCAGCCCCGGTGCATGCGGCCGGCACCCTAACCACCGAGTTATGGGGACCAAGCCTATCTTCCCCACTTTTAAATACTCTCTTGGGTATCAGATGGTGCTATAACTTTGTTCCAATCACCAATATGATTTATCAAACCTCTGTTCTCCAAGGCTTCAGATGAGAAACCCACAGTCATTTATGTCACTGTCCTTACACTGTACTGTTGATCTCAAGCTGCTATCAAGATTTTTTTTTTTTGTCTATAGTTTTCAGAAGCTTAATTAGGATGTATCTTTGGGCTTCTCATATTTAGGGTTTACTCAGCGTCTCGGATCTGTAGTTTTTGTCTTTTACCAAACCTGGTATTCCATAATCTTTCAGGCTGCTCTCCTCCTCCAACTGGACTCCAAGGATATGACTATTATTGTTTTGTTATTGTCCCACCAGACCCTGAGGCTCCATTCAGTTTTTTTCATTCCATTTTCTCTTTTATTCAGATCAAGGGAGCTCTGTCATTCTCAAGTTCACCAATTCCACTCTGTGCATCTCTAGTCTTCAAAAATTGGCTTTTCAAAAATTTCGGTTATTGTACCTTTTCAGGTATGGTTTTTATGACTTTTATTTTTAGGCTGAGATTTTCTATTTTTAAAATTTGTTTCAAGAGCATTTATGATTGCTGAAGGAAGCATTTTTATGATCGTTACTTTAAAAGCCTGGCCAGCAAATTCCACCGTCTGATTCATCTCTGCACTGGCATCAACCAACTTTCTTTCACATTCAAGTGGTGATTTTCCTGATTCTTCATGTGATGGGTGATTTTTTATTGTATCCTTGGGTTTCATTTTTAAAGTCAGGAGACTGTGTGCACTAGTAGATGTTCTATTTCAGAGTCACCTGTGTAGGTAGAGCATGCAGGTCCTGCCCACTTTTTCTGATTCCAATAAGGATTTAATTTTTAGAGAATTTATGGCATGACTTTGGCCTGCTTGGTTTATCTGGTTCTGCTAGGACTCCCACCACCACCTCTTGGTGCCTGAGAGGACAGACTCCCCCAGGGCCCAGCCACTTGGTGCTTCTAGGAAGCTTGAGGAATTCCTCAGATCATGGGATGAAGAGGCTTCCAGGCTGGGCCTCTTACTGTAGTGGGGTTCCCCTCGCTGGACCTGCCCTGCCAGTCCCCAAGGTGCTCAGTGGGGAAGGACAATGCTTTCCTTGGTTAAGATCACTCATTATTAGAGCCCCTAGTCAATCTTTCCTCCCAGGGCTGCCTGGAGGACTTGGGGTTCTCAGCAGTACTGCTGGTTCATCTGGGCAAGGAACCTGCCACCTGACCTCCTCTCTTGTTGAAAGGCTGGGCTGCTCCTCCTGTCCTGGGGTCTCACCCTCCTCCTCTCCCTCTCAACATCCCCCTGAGATCATCTCTGGTGCTATTTCCAGGGTTCACAGCTGGACTGAGAGGGGAGTTGTGGGGAGAAATGGGCCTATGCCACCCTTTCAGGACAACAACTCCCCCCTAGTCTTTATTTTTCCAGCTGCTCCAATCTTCTTAGAAGTCCCATCCCCCAGCTCAGCGCCTGTGGCTCAAGCTGCTAAGGCGCCAGCCACATACACCTGAGCTGGTGGGTTTGAATTCAGCCCGGGCCCACCAAACAACAACGATGGCTGCAACCAAAAAACAGCCAGGTGTTGCGGCAGGCCCCTGTCGTCCCAGCTACTTGGGAGGCAGAGGCAGGAGACTAGCTTGAGCCCAGGAGTTGGAGGTTTCTGTGAGCTGTGATGCCACGGCACTCTACCTAGGGTGACAGCTTGAGGCTCTGTCTCAAAAAAAAAAAAGTTCCATCCCCCTGTGTAGCAGAGAAACCCTGATTTGGTCCCATCTGATAATCCCAGTTTGATCCAATAATCGTAAACACGTTACTACTTAACTTTTGCTTATGGAAAAAGTAGAGAAGGCAGCACAGTGAGGTAACAGCCAGCAGCCCTGGGTCTGCTTTCACCCCGCCTCATGGAAGCTCAAGCCAGTCCCAGGCAGTACCCCCTCCCCGCTGAGAGGAGCCTCCCTCCCTCCCTTTGGGCAGCTTGATTTCCACCTGCATGATTAAGGAATTTGAGGTCTTTCAGAATTCTGAATTCTTTGAGAGTCCCAAAAGATCCAGCAAGCAGGAGGCGGAAGATTCACTGGAGGTGCTGGCCCTTGACTGTCCCTCCAAAAGGGCTGGGCGCGCCAGCTGCAAGACGTACTACAGACACAAACCCCACACCTGTGGTCAGGAGGACGCTGGGCCTTGCCACAGCTCCCAGACCCAGCCGTTCTGGGAAGACACTGGCCCTGGTGGTCCATGAGGGGGCCACCCCGCCCCTGCCCAGATCTCAGTCACATTCTACACTCTCTCCAGGGGCATAAGGAGCCTCTGGACTCCCATCTATGCCACATACAAACCCAGGCTGCTTGTCAAGACAAACTCTTGACTCTCCGGCTGGCCATCCCTTGCAGAGCAGGTACACCTGGAGGCCCCGCAGATACCCTGTGTTCAAGAACAGCTATTCCATCTTGGAAAGTTAAGAGAAAAGATTTAGAAAATCCTCTCTCAACAAAGTCTGCCTTTCAAGCCATTGGCCAGGTGCAAACTCAGAAAGCCTGATTTTGGAATTCTAGAGCTGAATATTCACCCAAAAGAGCCAAATTGCCTGAGGCAAATGGACACCTCCCACTGAAGACGGAGATCTCAGGCCCAGGAGATGCAAATGAGGCTGTGTATTAACATATTTCAAACATTTCATATTTATTCCCCAAAAAAGGAGATGAAGGCTTTGAGGGGAACAGGGCCCTGGAGACTAGAAAGCACACCAGGAGGGTCCCAGAGTGAGGAGATGGATATCCCCATCCCTACCAGGCACGGAGAGCAGGGCCAGCCCGGGGGACAGTGAGGCTGGGCTCCCTGGGGGCCAGCAGCCAGGCAGTGGAGAGGACCCTCAACCAGGCTGTCCCCAGGCCAAATCACTGCCCCTATCTCAACCTCAGACTCCAATTGGGAAATGGGAGAACCACGTCCAAAGGAAAGAGCCCAATAAAGAGGCAGGCAGGAGGCCGGCACTGGGACAAGGAGCTGCTGAAGGTTACTCAGAGCTCTGCTATTAACCCAGCGTGCACTGCACCCCGCACAGATGCTGGCTAACTTACTCCTTTCAGTGACCCCAGAAGTAGGTCCTCGTATTATCCTCACCTTACGAGTGAAGAAACAAAGGTTCAGAGAGGCTAAGAAACTTGCTGAGGTTCACACAGCCAGTGAGACAGGGCAGGGTGTGGGGGTAACACAGCCAGTGAGACAGGGCAGGGTGTGGGGGGCAGCCCCCTTGCTCCCAACTGCTTTGTTTTCACATGGCTGAGGCTGAGACCCTCCTCCTTGGACCCCTAGACCAGCTGGGACCAGGGGCCAGCATAAGAGTGGAAGGAGTGCCTCTGGCCACAGTCACCCAAAAGCCAAAGTCAGGGACCAAACAAGGCTGTCCCGGACAGTGTCACAGCACATTTGTGGACACCTCGGTGCTGAGCACATGGAGCCCCATTCCCCAGCCCCCAGATGAGGGGTGGCCTCTCCAGCTTCACTGGCTCAGCTGAGCTCTGGAGCAGAAACCTCCCAGCCAGCTGGCCTGTGACCTTGGTGAGTGACCTTACCTCCCTGGGCTCTGCTTCCCACCTATAAAGGGGGACAACAGCCCAACCTGCTCACAGCACTGCTGTTGTTATTATATGAGATGCTGCCAGACAAGGACTCAGCATGCGGACCTTGCCCACAGGGGGGTCACTGTTGTCACAGACACAGCAGAAAGCTCTGAGCTGAGCCCAGCCTCCAGGCCCGGTGGGTTTGAGCAGTACCCCTGCGGTGGATAGAAATGTGCCTCCCTCCCGTCTGAGGGCCTGCATAGCACACAGGGCTACAGTCACCAGCCCAGCTCTCCAGCCAGTGAACGACTTGCTTTGCCCTGTGCCCCTAGTTGACCCCCTCCCGGGCTGCTGTGGGACTCAAGGAGATGCCGTGACCCTGCACACCCTCCTGCAGTTCCTCCTGCTGCCTGGAGCCTCTGGGCCAGGGCCGGCTCTCCGAGGGCAGGAAGAGAAAAGAATGCAAGGACGTCACTATTTGGAGCCAAAGGAAAGATGCTTCTGCAGACCTGCCAGGAAGTGCTAGAGGTCCTCCCCACAGTCCCAGGCGGGACCTTCTCCATAAAGCCACTGCTGAGCCCCACCTATGTGCCCCCACCCAGGCCAGACCTATTGAGGCCCTAGGGCCCTGCTCAAAGAGCTTCCCTGAAGAATGTCATCTGACTTGTCACAGCCAACTTTAATATATCAAGAAGGAACTCATTCCTAACAGTGGAGATGAGGCAAGTTAAGAGCAGGGCCAGGCAGTGGGCAGGCTGTCATTTTCCAAGAAGGGCAGCTGCTGCCCAGGGACAATGGTGTCTGACCAGTGCCACAGAGGGGAGTTGGCTAGCCCAACTGCACAGAAAGCAGAGGAGAGTTGGTCACAAGAGGGGGCTGACCGTCACTACCCCTCTCCAGTACTGAGACCCAGAATGGCTCCACAAAGGTGGGAGGTGGGAGAGCTGGAAGGGTAGCAAGCACCTCAAGGTCCTGGTGGCTTGTCTCCAGGGTTTCCTCCCAAGCCCTCACTACCCTACCTGGTGGCTCCCCACCCTGGCTGAGCTGAGGCCCCTTAAAGGCAAAGAAAACAATGATACCATCCAGACTGAGGCCCTGTGGCCTCCGCGTGCATCACCTCCACCTCCGCTGTGCATAGGCTCTGTGAGTCCCACTCTGTCCTGAATTTCCAAGGGAGTGTTCCCTCAGAAGTCCCAAGTAGAAGAACCAGGACAAGGCCCTTGGGGCAACACCATTCCATCCTAGGTCTGCACTTCACCAACCCGGCAGAACCAGCCCCACCCTGGGACTCACAGGGAGGAAGGTGAGCACCACTTCCCTGTGGGAGGAGGGCTCAGAACACATTTCCACCATGAGGGCTCTGTGCCCTGCAGTGGGCCCCAAGCCCCACATTACCCACGAGGCACTGAGAGCTACCAGGTCACCCTGGCCACACAGGCTCTACAATACTCCACAAGTCTCACACCAGCTCCCAGGGCAGGTGCAAGACCAGAGACCTGCTGAGTGCCCTGAATGGCTCAGCTCCCCATTTATCTATCTGTTTTCCTGCCTTCCTCCCCTAAGGCCTTAAGGAGGCCTTAATATCCAGCAGGAGAGAATGTAAAGTGACACAGAGGGCACCAGGTGCAGCGCAGGCCACTCAGCGCCAGGACGCTGGGGGGACGGGGGTTGGAGGGAAGCAGGCATCCCTAGGGTGGGGTGACCTCTTCAAGTCTGAGGCCTTTGAGCCCCAAGATAGCCAGGTGTTTCCCCCAGGGGAGCGGATGGAGCCAGTCCTTGCCGGTCGTGCCAGGGACAGAGAGGGAAGGCAGAAAGGAAAGCTCCCTGAAGAAGGCAGCCGCAGAGGGTGGGAAACGCGGGGCTCCCAGTAGAGGTCACCTCTGGGCGACGGGGCGAGGGGAGACGCCTGGGTTAAATGACAGCGGCCGGACCCGCTGTCCCCACTTTCCCAGCCCCTGGGGTGAGGGTCAACCCCATCCGACGGGTCAAGTCTAAGCGCAGGCAACGCCGATTCCGCCGCGATCCAGAGTCCCCTTTAAAAGTTTGTCCGTAAACAAAACCCCTCTCTCCGCCCCGCCATGGGTAGCACCGCGGGCCCCAGAGGAGGATCCGAGGACAGACGCGGCTGCCCTCCTCCAGCCCTTCGGAAACAACAATGGGCTGGCGGCCGGCCGACGGAAAGAGAACCAGGGAGGCAAGTGTGGAAAATCCCCCAATTTTGCAATGTCAACTGCTGGGCGGTTAACCAGCCGCGGCTGCGGTGCTGCCCCCATGCGTCCGCCTGGGGAACTGCAGCCCTGGGGGACGACGCGCAGTAGTTGATATCTTGGTTCTCAGACCCTGAGGACGTACGGTAGGGTAGAGAATTTCGTTTTATCCCGAAAGCCTAAATCTCCTGCGGCTTGCACTTTCCCTGAGCAGGGCAGTGACTCGTTCTTACCGATATTCATAGTCTGCCACTGGCTGGTTTAGTTTTTTTTTTCTTCGACTTTAAGTCAGAGATGATACACTAAAGAATTGATGAAGTAGATCTTCAGGGGCCAAAGATAGCGACGGAGCTGGAGAGCTGCGATTGCTTTTCCCTGAACTCTGAAACCCTCGGGCTGGGCGCCGCCTCCAGCAAACATTCAGCCCTCCTGACAGCAGGTGTGGCTGTGCGGCTGTGTGAGCCTTGGCCCGCGGGACAGATCACACAGGCATCCCGTGGCCTGGGTGGCCTCTTCAAGTCTGAGGCCTTTGACCCAGGACGGCTGTGTGTGTACCCCGGGGAGCGGCCGGAACCAGTCCCTAGTCCCTGTTCCCTTGAGGCATGGGAAGACCCCAGGTGGCCTCGGTGCTGGAGGCGGAGCTCTGCGGGGAAAGGGGCAGGGAGGAAGGCTGCCTGGAGGAGGTGGCTATGGACGGGAGGTTCTGGCTGCAGGGGCACCAGAAAGGGCGCCGTGGGGTGCTGGGAACATCAAGCAGAGAGCACCTACTGCCCTGGTCGCTGGCTGTGGCGCTGGCTGTGCCCATGACCTCCCTGGAATCTACAAGGTCCCTTTAGTGTGCGTTTCTGCCAGTTTTTCAGGGGATGAACTGAAGGCCTATGCCAGGGAGTATTGGTGAGCAGCGGCATCCCACCCTGCTTCTGAGGGGCCACTGATCAGGGGCTCATCTGACTGCTCGTTTATACCCTAGAACTCACCTACAGCCTTCAAGTTCCTGGTGCAGCTGTAGGGCTTAAATCTACATAGAAGCTGCAGTAAAAATGGGCGGCGCCTGTGGCCTAGTGGGTAGGGTGCCGGCCCCATATACCTAGGGTGGCGGCTTCAAGCCCCGCCGAACTGCAACAACAACAACAACAAAATAGCCGGGCGTTGGGGCGGGCGCCTGTAGTCCCAGCTACTCAGGAGGCTGAGGCAAGAGAATTTCCTAAGCCCAGGAGTTGGAGGTTGCTGTGAGCTGTGACGCTGTGACGCCACAGCTCTCTACCGAGGGCGATAAAGTGAGACTGTCTCTACAAAGAATAAGATGCAGTAAAATCCTGTAGCCAACTAGGAAGATTTTCTTCTTTCTAAGAGACTTCTAGAAAGAAAGGGACTCTGGCTAATTAGAGAGTTCCCTATCAGCCATTCTGGCAGGTGAGAAGTAGTTTCTCTGGGAGAGATGTTGCTCCATGGGTCAGGCTGCCCTGGCTCCCATCGAAGGGGCAGGCACCCACTGGGCCCTGTAACAAGCCTTTTCCCTCTCTGGGCCTCAGTTTCCCCACTGGGACAGTGGGATCATCACAGGCCAAGCACAAATTTTTCTGTTTGTCTTTTGAAAATGCAACTGTCTCTTGAACGGTCTGGGACCACATTCCCACTTGGGAACATGGACCATTGTCAGGAGCTGAGCAGTGCCCCCTCTAAACCCTCACTACCCCCTTCCCCTGGCCTGGGGGAGATGAGTGTAGGGGTAGGGAAGGGATCAGGATCCCAGCTCTGCCAACTCTCACACAGAGGAGCTTGGTCAGCCCTGGAGCCAGAGTTTTAACTTCTTTGAACCTCAGTTTTCTCTTCTATAAAATGGGTATCATAGCCTACTCTGCAGGCTTGCTGATGGCTTCGGATATGAAACATCTGCATTGCCTGGCATCCAGCACACTCCATAGACAGCAGCTTTCACTATGCCTTACAACTCTGTAGAGAATTAGAAGCAGGGCAGGTCTGGGCTGTACTTCCAGGCCCAGGCAGAAAGACTCCCCAGGCCTTCACCAAGACAGGGCCAAGTGACTGAAGGCACAAGAAGGCAGCTCCAGGCACACTGCTGTGCCACCCCCACCTGTGTCCCTGAGGACTCTGTCCCCACTCCTGGCAAGAATGGATCATTTCAGGAGAAGCCTGACCGAGCTACCTCCAGGCCTCCCTAGCCCAGACAGTTTGAAGGCAGCCTACAAGCTGAGTGGGGCCCTTGAGGCCCTGGGTCTCACTGCGGACCAACCCTCTCTCCCCGCAGGCCCTAGCTTCCTCTGGCCTGTGTTCAGGCAGCTGCACCGTCTGAGCTGTCTTGTCAGTAGTGGACAGTCCTTCAGTCCCTTTTGAAAATTGCATGTTCCCCTCCTGGTTGGGCTTTGAGGTGTTGATGGGTTTGCTTCCAGAAAGGCTTTCTGGTGTGATTTTATAGATTTTCAACAACTTTACTGAGACACAGTTGACACACAATAATTGCTTTTAGGATCCTAAGAGAACAGAATTCAGGGGATCCCTCTGGCAGGGCTTGATGTGAACATTCAGAACTCGGGCATAGCAGCCCCGGACATCCTCCCAGAGACCCGCCCCCCCTCCCGACGGCCCCCCCAGTCCAAACACGAGAGTCCACCCCAGCTGTCCCTGCCACTGGGAAATCGGGGGCAGGTCGTTTCACATTCCACTTATCTCCTGCTCCTCTAAGGTCTGCAGCCTCTGAGTACAGCCTGGACCCAGGTGGCCCTTGATCACTCCACCGCACCCAACTAGGCAGGACAAACCTGGGCTGCTAGACTCTCTACCCAGCCAGAAATCCAGAAATCAAAAATCATATGTGAGCTCTCACGATGTTTTTTTTTGTTTTTTGTTTTTTGTTTTTTTTTTGCAGTTTTTGGCTGGGGCTGGGCTTGAACCCGCCACCTCCAATATATGGGGCCAGCGCCTTACTCCTTTGAGCCACAGGAGCCGCCCAGAGCTCTCACAGTTTTTAAATGTTGACTCTATTTTTTCTAACTTTCTCACAGTATAACAAACAAGGATTAAAAATAAATACACGTTGGCTGAAACTCCTTTCAAACAAGGAGGAACAGCACAGAGCTGGTTCCTAGGCCTCTGCAGACATTTCACCACTGCAGGGCTGCGGGTCATTGTCCCAGTGCCAACGGGGGCGGCGGGGGGGGGGTGGGGAGTGCGGAGTCCGCAGGGGGCGAGAGGTCCGACCGGGCCCTGGCTGGGCCCTCCCACGGCTCCGTTTCCGCCCGTGTGCTGCGGCGCCCCCCAACCGCCCGCTGGTCCCTAGACGTGCATTACAGCCCGCTCTGGTTTGGAACTTCAGAGCGCTCAGTGTGCGAGGTCAAGGCCTTTTCTCTAGTGGGGCGCCGCCAACCTGGACCTGGGGATAAGATTGGACCCAGGCCCCACAGTTGCCGGCCGCTGCGCAACCCCCGCCCCAAGAGTACCGCCCATGCCTCGGCCCTACGATCCCCAATCGCCCCGCACACTTCTGAGGGCGCGAATGAATCCCCAGTCCGCGGCCGCCCGCCTAAGAGCAGCTTTGCCATGGCCGGAGACCCGAGTTCCAGCGCCCAGCGCCGGCCAGCGGTCCCTAGCGATCCGGGGGCGGGGCCAAGGATCGGCGCGGGCGGCGACGGCAAG